CAACAGCTAGACAATATACGTGAACATGTAACGGAAATCGATATGCACTAATAGTACCCCCTTTAGTATATGAAGGTACGGGTGTCATGACCCTCCAACACGAAGGGAGGAGCCTCCGACCCGTCGAGGAAAATTAAAAAGAGAATTATGTATGTCGCGATACAGGATTAGCAGTTATTAAATAGTGCGGTGTGTCGTTGTTTTTGTATGTTATGTATGTTTTGTAGTATGTTTTTGTTTCATTGTATGTAGAAGTCGCCACAAATATATTTCACGCATCTAAACTAATTTTCCTATTGCAACACAATCTTTTTCCCTTTAAAATATATATAATATATATATATATATATTATTGTTTGACTAGTTTTGTCTACTTTGTTTTGCTTTATGTATTTAAAAACGTAATAAAATGTGTCTTTAAACGGAAATAAAAGAAGAAAAGCTGTTAGAAAACTAGATACAACTGATTTCTGGAGTTTTTATGTATATAGCTTCTTTCTTGGCTATCTGCATAAGTTAAAAATTGCGTCCTCCCTTAAAAATGAAACACTTTTTCAGCAGTCTTCTCAGGTACAATATTCTCTATGTTTAAACAGTATTTTAAGTAAGGTGGGATAAATATTTTTTAGTTTATTTATTAGGGACAAAAAACAGTTATACAATGCAGTCTTTACAATTGATTTAGCATTTACATATTTAAAACGTATAACCCACACTATTGTCCACGAGTTTATAGATGAAGTAGAAAAGGTAACGGACGCGCACTTTACACAATCGGTGAATTATATGTAATAATATAAGATAAGTAGGTAGTTAACTGAGAATGTTATCATAGATCAGCAAGAATTTCAGTGGCAATTTTTTTAAATTTAGAGTGAGTGAGAGCGAAAATATCCAAGCTCGTAACATGTGAGTTGTACGTTGTCAATAATCGGCGAAGAGGTGCACGCTCTCCAGCATTAGTTCTACACTTTTCCGTGTAGAATAATCGAGGTACGCGCACCTCCCTCCGAATGACAGACCTGGGTACTACATAACATAGCCTGTTTGATAATTCCGTACAATTATACCTACTTGTTATTGCATATGCCGTACAGCATCATTAACATTAGTAAGATGCGTCTATGCTCCAAGCTTAAGAGCTTAAAATGTTTCAGAAGATCCACATAAGGAATCTTGGTATGAAAACATTTGTAATAAGTAGTACGAAGAAATTTTTTCTGTACCATTTCAATCCTCTGCTTATATTTCTTGTAAAAGGGGCTCCAAATGGGTGCTTTATATAGGAAAAGGTAGGTAGTGGGCTTTTTGAAGTCTTTACAAGAGCGCATGACGCAACCATACATCCGAAAGGCTTTACTAATTTAGAATCTAGATGAACACCAAGATCTCGAGTACATTCGTTTTTCCTTAGATTTGTGTCATTAAGTGTATATGGAAAGTTAAAAGGACTTTTGTTCTTTGTGAAGGATATAAAGTGACATTTTGGTGAACTAAGGTGCAGTTCATTAACAACACAGTACTGTGAGAGCCTACAAAGATCTTCTTGCAATAGTATGCAATCCTGAGTATTCGTGCAGGTCTTATAGATTTTCATATCGTCAGCATACATTAGGAATTTAGAGTTAACTATACAGGTACTTATATCGTTTATAAACAAAATAAAAAGCAAAGGACCTATAAAATAGTTTGACAAAAGAAGGTGATATGTGAGTATAGAATCAATTAAAGGACCTCCATGTACTTCCATAACTCCATTCCATTAAAAAATTGCCTCTTTTTTTCTATTTACATATTTAGGAATGCGGATAGATCAAATGAGATTTCTCGAGTACAATTGAACCGTGCAATGTCATGCTATCTCATTCAAATTAGTCATAGTCAGGCAGTGACATCGGCTGATGTAATGAAGTCGAAACGTCAGACACTTCAAGAATGTATAAATTTCCAAAATACATTTATTCCATACACAGAAGTTGTATGTCATAGAACGCAAAAGTTACCTATCACGCATATAATTATATTATTATGCAACTTTAAGTGATTTTCAAATCAAGTAATATGAAACTTTTTGACCCTAATATGGCAGTACTACATCTATCGTTTGCTTAAAATAACTTGGATTTTCCAAAGGTGACACAACATGTGAGTGGCATACTTTTACTTATGTCACATACTTCAGTGCATATTTCACACACTTTAATGTTTTCTTGCATAATGCACATTTTATTAACCAAGTGAACTTACAGACCAATTGTCACAGAATTGTTATTGAGCTGTATATAAAAACTCGTATATATCTACATAAATATTAATTTGTTTAGAATGATTTGTGCCTAGAAGTAGGCTGTTTATTGGAGAAAATTATTTTTTTTAAGGTCCTGCTAAGATTAATAGGCACGTGGAAAAAGAATAATAATAACATGATAAAACAACAAACAATAGGTACCTTATGTTAGCCTCTTCGTTATTGCTTGAGTTCCAAGCCTCTTCTAAGTTTTATAATTAAAGTAACTTTATAATAAATAAAGTTTACAAAAAATAATATAAATATAGTTAACTTGGAAAGTATATTACGCACGTTGCTTAGTTAGAAAACCTCGAATTGCCCGATGATCGCAGCCAGTGATCGCAAGACCTAATTATTTCTTTTTATAAATAGGTGAAGCCACAACAGAGCATTACTTTTTTCTCTCTGTTTGCCAAGCGATTGTCTGTTTTTGTTAAATTACTGTGTTAGTTCTATTGTTACAAAACTTTAAAACTGAACTATGAACAACTATAAAGTCAATTCAAAAGTATTATAGTTAACTATAATACATATGGATGTTTTTCCCTATTAATCTAACTTCATTATCAGCAATAATTTAATTATAGAAATTTTGAGAAAACAGCAACATACTTAGGTTGGAATTCACTTTATAGGTGTTTTCGTATCAAATATCACTTTTAATAAAAATAAGTTTTTATATTTTATTTTTCATTTGTAATGTATTAAAAAATGTAATTAATATGTATATATATTGTAATAAAGAGAATAATAATAATAAGTTTATTTCAGCCCAGAGTTGTTAGTATTTACTTAAATATACCTAAGTAACGTGAGACCATAATCAAACGGTAACCAATTATAAATTGAAAATTAAAAACAAAAGAAAAACAATTAATCAATAATAGTTTTTAATTCAATCAAAGTACCTAAAGGTCATGACTGAATATGTAATTTTGAAAACATTGACCTTAAACCTTGATAGAAAGGTCAGAATCGATCATGTGAGTGTCGGATTATCAGGTGAGTGTCGGAAGAGCAAACTACGCAGGACAACAGCACTGCAAAGAGAAGGAAAACTTGGAACGAAACCTTTACAATATCAACCCTTGCTAAGGAGAGACTTATGTCCAGTCAGTAGACTGTTAAAGGTTGTTGATGTTGTTGACACTACCAGTTTAAAGGAGCTACGAAACAAATTGTGATCTACTTTGAACTTATCACCTGGATGATTGGTTATTTGCTAGTTCAACAACTTTTTTTATATTATCGACGCGTGAATGACAATTCTTTACTTAAGAAGCGAAATAAGTATTTAAAATGAGTTAAATATACCCAAAGACACTAAAAATCTGACGATTCGAATGGTATGTAAAACTCATTTTACATAGTTAGAATAGGATAAGACTATTAAGATTTATGTAATTCTCTAATGTCCCTCTCGAGAAGCATAACTCTATCTATACGGTTTTATACTGACTTAGTAGTTATACAGTACATAAGCATACACTATACTTTTTATCGATTTTTATATGCACTGAAATAACTAATTATCATTTTACTTTATGATCATCCCTCGTACATTTCTAAAAAATGCTTCTATTTCCTATTAAATTATATCCTTATTAAAATATCCTTATTAAATGTGGTGGTTGACATTTAAAAACAAATTGAAATTTGTTTAAAGACATTATTAACGATTTACAAACTATTAAGAGAGACTTGTAGTCTAGTTATTTGGTTAATACTAAATGTTTTTCACATAGAATGAATAAAAACGTCACAATGTTGTATCACAATTTACAATACATTGCTTGACATGAATTATAAGTAGACAATGTATCACAAATGTACAAAATATTCGAAAGAAAAAGAGAAAAGACAATGCAAATACTGATTATTGTATGTAGGTAGTTAAGTGCTATTGTAACAGCAGACAATTAGAACTAAGTAAATACTATTACTTAACTAGACTTTTAAAAATACATTTTATGTGTATTGTTGTCATCATACTAACGTTATGTAGAAGACATACACGTTGGTATGATGAAATGTATTCTAGAACAATCTACAGGTTGAAATTGAATATGAAACCCATAAGATTTTATAAAAAGAAAAAAAATACAGTCAAATTGATAACCTCCTCTTTTGTGTTTTTGAAGTCGGTTAAAAATGCATCACTCATTGGATTGTTGTACCTACCCTTTTTTTTTCCGTGCGGAAATCCCCTCGGATACCACCTGTCGGTGGCATGTCGGACTCGAACCGACTAAAACCGCACGCCGTCTCGGGGCACTAACAGCCGGGGAACCAGGTATACCCTAGAAAAGAAGTCCCTGGTGCCCCGACTGGTGGTCGACAGGTAGACGACCCCCCCCCGTGTGGGAACCCCATGTTCCCTCTGTGTTGTACCTACCATAGCACAGCAATTCCATTAATAGTTCCATTTTTGTTGTAAGTTTAGTGTTATAACTGTCTAGCCTTGTGTTTTTTTTACAACAGTAAACTTGCCAAAACCCGTAGAACATTTGAGAGCTTAACACAATGCATTTATTAAATACATTGAAAAATATTAACTGAGCGAAACAAAGGACTTTGTTATGAGAAATTAAGGAAGTATACAATCAGAAATCTGCTATACTCTACGTATTGAGTACTTTATAGTGAAATGAATCGGAATACTGTATCGAGGTACAACAGTTGCAGTAATGGAGACTATTGTTTTTTCTAGTGGTTTCAGCGGCAGTCAAGCGAGTAGCCAAGCTGCCTCATTCGCTGGCTCCGGACAGTCCGTCTCAGGAGCTGCTTCGTCTGCATCAGCAATAGGCGGCTTTGGAGGAAACTTCGGCAGTCAAAGCCAAAGCGCTTCATCAGCTTTCGGTTTTAATTCACTGAACGGATTCCAACAGCCTAACGTGAGTATTTACCTACAGTTGTTTATGTATGAAAAAATGGTACACACAAAGCCGTAATCACACAAAGTGAATATGGGTGCACCTAAAATTATCAACTTGTCACGACGCACTGACAAATATGGAAAATACTATTTAACTTCTGTTCAAAACTGGTGGCGCGAATGGTATGTGTCGAAGGCCACCAGTTATGAATGTTTTGTTATGAACACATGAATAGGGATAATATTTATAGGTAGCTATCGGAATTGTCAAAAAGGTACATACTGGTAGTAAAAGATTATTACGTTTAGAAGAATACCCGAACAAACAAACAGACTGACAGACCGACAGACAGAAAGACAGACAAAAAAAACTGTTTTTTAGGCATAGGTATCCTGTAAATAACCGTGTAAGAATTAAAAAACCTATTATTTTGACATTACAAACAGACACTTTTATTTATTTTATTTATTTGTATAGATGATGAAAACTGTGGAAAGGAGACAATAACTTTTATTTTGCCGAGTACCCACCCATGCTAGTTATCCGTTTTGTGAAAAGTGGTATTTCATTGCCTAAACATGTAATGGAAGGAGATGTTTTTAGACCTCCTCCTAAAGAAGTTTATTTAGCTGACTCACGTCGAGAACTAAATAATAGTGACGTTGAAGATGATAAATATTTTTCTTACTAATGTAAATTTACTTTTATATTTTAGGTCTTCGGAGACGGGCTCCTGGACATCAGGCACAGAGGCGCGCCGAACTTCCCTCAATTTCCTACATTTACCGGAAGAAGCAAAGGAATAGGCGCAGCAGCCTTCAGGACGGGGAAGACCGATGGTCCTTCTATAAGAAGTGGAGACGATTTCTTAGCTGTACTTGTGTCTAACTAAAGGTTTAGAAATATCTGAACAGGTCGAACGAAATGCTCATCTATAGAAAATGAGACCGGAGAGATTTTTTAAAAATTATCGTAATTACCTGATGTGGTAATTTAAACAAATTTTAGTGTTAGTTAGCTGACAATGGAAGATAAAAGAATGATATAAGATTAAAATTATACGCGGTTTCACTTCATATTTCATGTACATTGGAATGTGTGAGCTTGGACATCGATCAATTAAATAATAGTGTATGTGTTGCTACAATCGATTAGGATTTAAGAATGAAAATATCATTATAATAGTATAATGCTACCTTTGTTCTTAAATCTGAGTAAAAAGATAATAACTAATTAAATAGTTGTAATATCTTTATACTCAGATATGTGCCATGAAGCCATGTGACTTAATAAATGAATATTACAAGCCGTTTAGATTTATCTTTATAATACATTCAATGGAGTTACTTCATTAAATTACTCGATATATGACACAAGTTTTGTAAACTGGTCACGCTATGCAAATTAGACTCGTAATTTGTATTTTGAGGTGTTATATACATATGTTTAAGATGGAGGTACCGTAACCATCAAGAATCTATTGTTGAAGATAGTTTTATATGACAGATGTTTTGCAAAGTGTATTCCGTAAAGATGCAATGTTCATTCTGGCTAACAAATTAAATTGAGTCGATTTCTATGAAACATATGGTATAGAATTATCAGATTATAAATAAAATTAATAAAACATACTTAAATGATTTCCAATGGACAGTGATTAACCAGAATGAAATTTAAGAGCTGAATATTCAAATTTTGTCGTGTATTATTTGAATGTTTTAATCTTATTATTAAATTACTTACTATTAAAAAAACACAGCGACATTCACAGATAATATTGTGTCAATAATCTAAAGTTTTGGAAATTTTATTAATAATAATAATAACTTCAGCAAACTAGGCAGAGCCTGTGCCGTGGTAGCTACATAGCAAATACATATCAAAGATAAATTACACCCAGACATAGAACAAATGATCGTGCTCATCACACAATGATTTGTCCTGGGTGAGAATCGAACCCACAACCTCCGTATTGTGAAATTAATGTCAATCCACTCTCTAAAAACATATAGTAGACTTGTTTATAATACTAGATCTATATTATGATAAGTTAAGGCTTAAGGTATTCTAAGATGTATTTATTAAATTATTTCGTTAATAATCTAATTGTTTTATTGTAGTACTTCAATGAAAAAATACTCTTGGCGTAGGACCAGTATGACGAAGCTTCTGAAGAAGGAGAATTTGCCCGATCCGACAACCCTTGACAGAATATCTTGGTGCCATGAAACATGGTGACCCGACCCCACCTAAAGTTTGAAAAGGCTAGAAAAAAAACAATTCAATAATAAAAAACATATTCAATAACAATAAATTTGAGACTAGGTGAGTCTCTTAATGTTCTCTTTTTTCTTGAGTGAAGCACTCGTGTGCACACTACATTGCTAGGACAGTGGGTATGTAAGATTCATTGGGCATATTACAAAGAAAAAAGAGGAAGTATACACACACAGTGCAACTAAACCACCAAATTTGGGGCTAGTGGTTTAGTTACACATTACATGCGGGCCATTTGGGTTCAATACCTCCAATAACCCGTTAACTTGAAAGAGAGGACTGACCGAGAGACAATTATCATATACAATAGGACAGGTTACCTAGAAGACACAGGTATAGATGTGACAATTCTAATAATTATTTAATAAACAAATAATACTCGTATTAGAGTTAATAATCACTAAAACAGGCTTTGTTTAATGGCTCTAATATCACTCGCGACTAACACGTGTTTTGGCGTGGTTTTAGTAAAGCCAATACGTAATAAATATTATAAAATATTGATTACTTCTACTACAGGTTTCTACATAATTATTATCATTTAAATAATTTATTTTGCATTAATGATGTTACTTATGAGAATTTAATAGGTATATACTGAATAACAAAAGATACATTAATTTTATGAAAACTTAACTCACAGGCATAAATAAATTTTCAAAAAAAAAAAATGGAACTACTCAGTCAAGTTTCATATGTTTACTTTCAAAAGATTGAGATTACGTTTGTGTATACGAGTCTTCACACTTTTCATTAGTCATTTCATTTCGATGCGGTGGTATTTCTATCGAGTTTAAATTTCCTTAAGAACATAAGGTCCATTTATATTGTTTATGTATTAGTCATCAAGTGCTAGGTATTATGATTAATGAGAGCTTCTAGAATAAGTCAAATTAAAAAAAAAGAGCTCAATTAGAAACATCTCAGCAATACGCTTTGCGACAACAATCGAGTCTGAATATTGTTTATTACTGACGGAGATTATTAAATACTTTATAAATAAATCATTGTTTTGCAGGTTTTTTAATGAAATTAAATACTATTAAGATTAAACAACCTGATTTAATGATTCATGGTTGTCAACTCTCAAAATAAAACAATTACGGAACTAATTCAAATCGATCCAAGAGGATCTTATCGCTCCTGGGTTCATTATAGCCAGAGATATAATCAGTTATAGCAAGACACAAGGCAAAGTATTGTCGAATTTAACTCCTATCTAAATATCGGTAGAGTTACAAATAGTAATTTTACAATTTTGAAACTAGTAAAATAATCAGGCGCTCGAACGCGCTGACATAAGTAGGGTCACCGGTACAATAAACGCCAATACGAAAATTAGACGCAAATTAATCTGATTATAATAAGATTAATTTACGTCTAAAAGAATTACAACGTCGTTGAAGTGAGAAATAATAAGATATCCTAAAATTAAACAGTCAAAATGAAACGATATAACTATTTAGTTTGTAGCTCGCTAAACGTTCTTCTGTACCTAAAAACCTTAAAAGTTAATTATTCATCATACACGCATCTAGAATTCTTATAGGTTGTACCAGGAATTAATACACACATTATAAAAGAATTAAAGTTTTCCTTTATTATTCCTTTATGTTTGAAGGTACCGTCACTTTCAAGACGATTCTTTCTTTTTGTCATAGTGTCATCCATTACGTTCCTTTCGGAATCCTTATAAATAATAAAGATATGAAAAGGAAAAAGAAAGAATATTGCCATGAACCTCTCTTACACATAGTTTACTAAAACTCGTTTAATTGCTAACACTATATTATCAGGCCCTTCCAGAAAATATTTTTGTATGAATGTTAGCCAGTTATAACTAATCATTTCTTAGCCGAACGAAAACTACAATTAAAAACCCTTGAAGGTACGCTTGTGCGATCATTCAAAGTTATTAGACCTTTAACCTTTTACCTTTTTATATTTTAAGAGTACGCTAGTCGCTTAGTCTATCTACGAGTATGTTCCACTCAAATTGCACGTAGACATTATTTTATTCAAGTAAAGCACAATTGTGCGGACTAGACTGGAGTGATCATGGCCTCACAGAAAACGGGCATCTAGTGATTCTTTCGTTCTGAGGGCCAAGTTTATTTCACTTCTACTCGGTGACCACGTTCGTCGCTACGATTGGCCCGCACTGAAATCTCCACCAATAGCAACGCTTAACTCGCTAACCGCTTAAAGCAAATTTTGTAACGAGTGAGTGAGGTTTAGATAAGTTTTGCTTGAGCGGCAATCGAACACGTGACGTAGCAGTCCATTACACAAACAACTACGCCATCCGTTAGGAAAAATGCAGTTACCCAAATAAAACGACACACTTAGGCTTTTTAGTAGATACTGAAGTAGCTTTTTATTTCGCATTTACAAAGATTTTGTCAATTAATCTATCACCGAAATAATATAATAATAAAAGTATAATATATAATATCAAGAGTGTAGTATAATAAAAAATAAGAATATAGTATGTAATAAATACATAACATTACTTTTGCTATTCCCCTCACAACATGTATGCATCTGGTTATGGACTAGGATAAACAAAGTATATTCTGACCAATACTTTTGCCAATTTCATAGAAACAAGTCACTAGTTACTGTACGTCCTTTATTTCTTCATTAGAAAGCAACAGATGTTGTTATGATTGTTATGAACATAAAAATAGAAAAAGTCTTAGATTATAATACTCAAATAACACAGACAATCACATCATCATTCATTTCATGTTTTACTAGCTGAAACTCTTATAGAGTTCAGCAGTATTTAGTAAAATAAATTCATAAAACATGCTAATCTATGTAACTTTTCAGTTAATACGCAGTCGAAATTGTAGTCGCCTTTGAGTTTTTAAGGTTATTTTATGTAAAATTTCAGGATATTCAGTTGAGTAAGTCAAGGCTAACATATTAACAAACAAAATGCATAAGGTATTATTTGTTATGCGCTGGCAATGCGTCATTATCACGGCACAGATCACGGAACCTCAAAGTTGCTCTGTGGTGTCGTTAAAATATACGTCATCTATTTATTTATAGTATCAACAGTCCTATCGTTGTAGTGCAGTCTCGTTGAGGGTCAAGTAAGCAGTTTTAACACCGGAACTTAAAACTATTCAGAAAAGTATATTGGAGTTCTCACAATGTAATATTACTTTTCTTGTTTAAAAATTGAAACGAGTCGATCGGAGTCAATGTCCTTTATGGTACGTATGTCGTACTTGGAACAAACAAAAACTCACGATTTTTATTTATAATTCGGTCTGTTCTTGTATACAACGAAAATACGTCACAAGGTTTTAATTTTTTTAATAAACAAATGAATCCTATGTGCCAATAATATCCTATGTTGTATATTAAATTATGTATCCTAAATTTCAATCATATCAATGACATTTTTGTCATTCTACCTACACTGTTACGCTATTTAAGTGATTGTACACTTAAATGGCGTAACAGTGTAGGTAGAATGACAATATGGAAAAGTAAATGACGATTTTTATTCTAAATCTGGAATTAATTTGAAATAACAATTCGATCTCTCTCTCAATTTAAGAGCCAAGCCCTTGTCTGTTGAGCAATCGCCAAATAACT